TGTCAATTATCGGTGAAGTGTGTTTGGTCTGCTGCTCAGGGTCTTATGGCTCTGGACTCGCCCTACACTGGCATTGTTGACTGGCGACTGATGGCACTGAGCTATGCCAAGGACTTCCAGGAAATGGGTGGTGCCGTAGTTACCGAGTTCGAGGCAGCAGACATCGCCACGGTGACGGAGAGTCCTGCTGGCAGTATTGAAGGTATCTGAAATTTCCTGTGAGCTTTTTTAGAATTTAAGCATCTTATTTTTACAAAGTGCAATGAGTTTCTTATTTATTAATAACCGCTCCGAACAGCATTTTAGTTCTGTTTCAGCAGTGGTCACTAGACTAGACAGTACTGAAAACTGGACAAGGCTTTTAGGTTTTAAAAAAACTATTCTTGTAAAAGGTTACAGTGGATAATTCTTGAATATTTCAGGAATGAAGTATCCTATTGCCATCAGAAGTTCAAAGGTAAGCCCCCTTTCCCTCGGCCTTCATCTGAAGGTGGTGTGTCGTAGGAGGGTGAGCCCTCTTTAGTGCTCCTGTTCTGGGCAGTGGCGGTTTGCTTTGCGGTGCTGCTTCTCTTCGCTCCAGCTCTTTCCTAAGCCCGCTGTCCCCCTACGTTGTGGCCACAGGGAGAAGAGGTGCAGTGCCGCTATGTGCTGACCTGCGGAGGCCTGTACTCCGATCGGCTCTCCCAGATCTCCGGCTGCAGCCCCGAGCCCCGCATCGTCCCCTTCCGGGGGGACTACCTGGTCCTCAAGCCCGAGAAGCACTACCTTGTCAAAGGCAACATCTACCCGGTGAGTCCAGTGTTCACGTCTGGTTTAATGGATGACCAGCTCATCTAGCCCTGCTGACACCTGGCAGCAGCTGAGTTACATACCGTTGAGCACAACTCTATAACAGCTGGCCAGCTTGCTTATCTAGCGATTGCCATCTCTGTAGCATGTACTGAGCATTGCCTCACGGGCGGGCTCTGTGGGGGTAAATTTATTGTCTTACTTCCACAAACTCCTCTTTTAGCTGATCTCAAAGTGGCTGTGGTCCCAACTTAGTCTGCCCCGGCATTGTGTGTACAGGTCCCGGACCCCCGGTTCCCCTTCCTGGGGGTCCACTTCACCCCGCGGATGGACGGCAGTGTCTGGCTTGGGCCCAACGCTGTTCTTGCCTTCAAACGAGAGGGCTACCGAATCTACGACTTCAACACCCAAGACTTTGCTGACGCAGTCAGCTTCAGGTACCAGCAGCAGCTTCGCTAACGGTATTGCTCTCCCTGTGCACCATTTAGAAAAATAGGGTTGTATTTAATCACATACAGAATAGATAGTTGTTATACTCTGAAGGGACCTATGTCTGTTAGGAGATAACACTTAGGCCCTCAAGAAGTGTTGTACTGTTTTGTACATTCCCAGCTGGCTTAAGTTTCTCCACGGTCTTTTCTTTTGAGTGGGGGTGTAACTCATGTATCCTACACTTGATTCAGTCACATGAAAGGGACCAGGGTCTTGGCTAATTAGGGGTCTTGGTTAATTGTCCAAGGCTGACCTAACTGCCTAACTTTCTGACCTTGTTTACACCTTACATGGTAACCAACTGCTACTGACCAATCATGAATGTATGTTTTTGTATGGAAATTTTGCTCATTTTCAAGAGCAAAGGCCTGTTGCTGTCCTTAGGAAACTGAGGGAGAGACGAGGTTAACCTGTTAATTTCGTCTATCTTTCTCTATTTACTGCAATAATGAAGTCTCCAGCAAGGTTTACCAGAGTCATGTGGTTTACTTAGAAAAGGGTCAACCAACTGTTACGTTTATTGTGTGAATAAACAGTGAATGCAGGTTGGCTTTATATTTAATAAAAATAATGGGATAGTTCATTTTTTTTCTGGAGATAAACTCTTTGCAGCTCACTATGAAACAACATGGAAGAATATGGTCTCAACATTCCTCATCACTAACTGTTCAGAGTTGGAGAACTGGAGGCTGATCCTCCAGCAACTCCAGCAAAGAAAGTCTGAAATTGACTCCAGCACATCGGAGGTGGAGAAATGTATTTTTAGGTATTCTCTCTCTTTCAGGGGCTTATGGAAACTGGTGTTCAGGAATATAGCATATGGACTGGGGGAAATGTACAGAGGAGTTTTTGTCAGTGCGCAGGTGAAAATGCTGCAAAAATATATCCCAGAGTTGACTGCTAATGATGTTCTCAGGTGAGGATCTTCCAGCTTTAGAAAATTTAATTTAATCACCTATCCAGAAAACAAATATCATTTTTATTGCATGCTTTTGCTAGGTCTAATATTGTGTTTTATGTCTCCATGTTAGCATGATTTTTTTTCAGTTACATAATAAGATTGACTTATTGAGTCATGGTTAAATAAAAAATTATACCTTCTATGCATTTGTAAATTCCAACTTTAGGATTAGGACAAAGCAGAAAGAAAGTTTTGTGAGTAAAGGTTTCAAACTTTGAAGCCACTTTGATTCTTTTTGCAGTTTCTAAGCTTTCCTTTACTTGGGGTAAGAATCAGATTCAAGAACAGGAGAAACTTCTTTACACAAAGGGTTGTGGGAGTATGGGACAAGCTACCCAGCCACATTGTCGAAGCCAATCAGCATACAACTGGATGAGATCCTCAGATCAATCAGCTATTAGCTAGCAAACGAGCTAGGAGGGCGAAAGGCCTCCTCTCGTTTGTACCTGTTCTAATGTTCTTATTGTTTCGGAACATGTGCCTAGATGTCGCTGTTGGAACAGGCCGGGCTGCTGAGTAACTGCGCGGTGTCGTGCTTTTCGTTTGCCAGGGGTCCTGCGGGTGTGCGCGCACAGGCGCTTGACCGTGATGGGAACCTGGTGGACGACTTTGTGTTCGACGGGGGCATCGGAGACCTGGGCAGTCGCGTTCTCCACGTGCGCAACGCCCCCTCGCCCGCTGCCACCTCCTCCCTCGCCATCGGGGAGATGATCGCTGACGAGGTGGAGAGCAGGTTCAACCTGTAGAGGGGGTGCCGCCCCTCCCCGCTGGTCCCACAGCTCAGACCCAAGCCCTCTCTGAAACCCCCTTACCTTGGAGACGCCTGCACGGATCTCTGTCTCTACGCTGCGCTGTAGTGTCGGGGCCAGTGGCCCTGCTGGGACTGAGAGCTGCAGTTAGTGTGTGGTGGGTGCAGTCGTTGACATAAGCATCTGCAGAGTGCCCATGTAAACCAGAATTTCTGAAGCTGAGAAACTTGGAAACCTCTCAAACAAATGAGGAGAACTTGCTTCAGAAGTGATGGGGAGTAAAGTGTGCACTTGAAGACTCGGCCTTACTGAGAATCTTATTATACAAATAGCTACATAACATCAGAAAAGTGTATAAACCCATACGAAGCCCTCCCTTTTTAATTCTTTATTTGCTTTAACCTAATCACTATTGATAAGAGGAAAAAAATATTTGTAAAAACAAATAAGGACATTAAGTGGCACCTTACCATTTTTAAAAGCTGCTTTTTTCAGTGCCCCATTGCCTTGGGCAGAGGACTGTTCAGTTTCATCCCACCTCAGAGTAAATGTAGCACTGTTTCCAGTCAGCCACAACTCACAGCTCATAGATGTCTTACTATTTATTGAGCTTTCTTGAGTGCGGAGCACTGTTATCCTTGAACTAACGTTTGAAGCTAGTTTGTTGATGCAAAGTCTTTGAACAGCCCACAAACCTTTACGAGAAAAAGAAGAGTAAAGGCCAGACAACTGCTAAAATAAGATCTCTAAAATAATGTATGGATCAGTCTTGAAGATGTTTTGGATCTTGCACAGGAAAGTGCTGAACTAAATCTGTAGCTCCTTACTCTTGTTAATAGTTAATGTTTTAATGAAGCTAGTACCTTTCCTGTTTGTTACAGGCTGGTAAAAACTTGACAGTGAGAGGGGAAAAGTTGGTTAAGTGCCTCAGTGCTCTTTTATTCTTTTCTTTCTGGGCTTCCTTACCAAACCCTGGTACGTGTTGTGTCTTGCCCTACTCCCGGCTACCTCAAGCACCAGCTAACAGGAAGCACGTATAAGTAGATAGGAGCATGAAGTAATGAAGAGTTACATGAAAATGTTGGAAACATCATTTTTTGTTTGTAAACTCATGATTTTGTGATTATTTCTCTGTAGGTCTGTACCGGTTATCTTAAATTATATATATATTTTAGACAACATTACCTTACCATATTGCCCCAGTTGTGCATTGCACCCTTTAGCCTGTCTAAAGTTTAGTTTTAATTAAGAGTCACCAATTGCTTTTTGTTACAGATCTAGGATAGCCTACAATGTTTTTTTTAGAGAGAATCCTGACCGACTAATGTCAGCCTTTCAGTTGCCTGAGCTCCTCCACGTGGGGAGTCCACGTCACTGCTGCCTGGCGACGTGACTGATGCTCGAACCTGCAATGCTTGAAACTTGAAATATTGCATCAACATCCCAGCCTGAAGCTTGGATCATAGAGATCGACCTGTTCTTGACATTGTGCCTTTACCAGCTGAGCCACTCAGGACCTCCTGAACATAAGACTTTACAATATACCCACGTCCTAATCAAAGTGAAGCCCTGGGCTTTAGAGAAAAGGTTTGGTGTTCTATTCCCACAGGATCTGGTGAGAATTCGCACAAGATGTGGTGAGAACCTTGGTGAGCTCCCCTCCTAAAGGTGCACTGCCTTCCTTTTGTTTAACTCTCGGGGTTCGCAGTCTGGGGTCTCAAGACCACTGTAGGCTTACAGAAGTTGTCCAGGGGCTACTATAGACTCATAATTGCTCAAGAAAAAGAGGCTGTAGATTCTAATCTTTGTCTGGCACATTTATTAATTGGGCGAATTTATTTTATACATGCCATCCGATCACTGTTGGGTGTTATTTAATCTGTTCATCCTCAGCAGATGTTGAGTTATGCAGATCTTCTTACCACAAGACCATGTACCAGTAGTTTCAAATCTTTGTTCTACTCTAGAGATGTGTTTTTTTTTTATCTGATCTGCACTGTTTACAGTAGATCTACTGAGATGCAGTTGTGATTTTTATCATTTCAAATATATGTACTAATTTCAGTTTATTATACCAAATTTGAAAATATCCCCGAGAGCCTCAATTCTAACTAAGAACTATCATTACATGTTTTGTTTGTGATAAAGAATGTATAGATATACAGTACTTACTTTTTAAGGATTGTGAAAGTACAGTATTTTTTCATGTCTGGACACTTTAAGAATTCTTGTGATGTTGTAGCATTAGCTGAAGGTCATTAAATTATTATTCTTTTACTGGAAAGTAGAAGCAAGTGTGGTTGTATAGCTTCATCTCCTAGAAATGAACTTCTTTCTTCTCTTTTTGAAGGATAAAATGCACATCCTCAGTAATTGGAGCACACTGTTAGTCATCAGCTGTGCAAAGGTTTGCAAAGATGGTCATCTTAATGCACTCCAGGAGCTGATTAGAAAACTGGGATTTTGAAACGCTTTTTGATCCATGTTTATGTCTGGATTCTGAAGTCCCCCTTAAAATACTGTATATTCTGGAGATTTTTCTAAGAAACGCGGGGGGGGGGGGACACCTAATTTTGAATGAAAACACTGAATGAGTGCATTGTGTTTAGGGGAATTGTATCTTTTATTTAACTGTACCTAACACCCTTGTAGAACTTGGAAACTGATTTTCATTATTTGGATTCCCTTTTAGAATGTATTCATATTCATTTTTTTTTTTAAATATAGGGCACATTTCTTTACATATTGATGCACAATGGCAATGCTGCAGTCCAAGTCTTACATTAGAAAGTCATTGAGTTAGACAGAGTTGTTTATCTTTTAAATATAAAACAGTTTTATTGTTCAATTTATTGAAAGTCATATGATCTTATAAACATTACATCCCACATTTGGTCAGATGATTTAAAATTACCAAAACATTTTTCAATGATAAAGAATCATAAGTAGCCATTCAACATTACACAATTTAATCATAGCAAGGACAGTAAAAGATAAAGACTGCTTAATTGCTGTCATGCCAACATGAATGCAGACTGGGAGAGAATTTTGCATCTCATTCTGCAAAAGTTGCAGAATGAGATGTTCTGCTTCAGCAAAGGACAAACTAGTCCAAAGTAACTAAGAAGCTGGCTTGTTGGGGGACAGGCCACATCCTGAAAGGCAGAAGGTGACCATTCTGTGTCCAGTGGCACCAACACAAGAAATTTCAGGTATGCTGTAAATTACCCGTACGTGAGCAGACCACCAACACCTCATGGCCATGAGAGTAATGTTGCTGTTGAGGGGTAACATTGACAGCTAAGAGGTGATCTGGATGAAGAATCTCAGAAATGGTGGCAGAGAGGGTGGTGGAGTATATTTTTCACTGATCTCTATCATTTTGGCCTTGACAGGTCTGTATATTGAAAGGTTGTAGTGAACATGATACTGGCTGTTGTTGCTCATGCCAACAGATATGGCTGAGGGGGTGTGATGTGGGGAGTTACCTCCTTGAGCATGATCTGCCTTCGGTGCACACTGAGGAGAACCTTACTACTCAGCAGTACAGTGACAAGGGCCTTGAGCAGATGGGTTTATTGTTCCTTACTGCAGAAGTCTTGATTTTCTTGTACGACAATGAAAGACCACACAATGCTAGGGTTACAAGGGCATTAATGTAAAAAACAAACAATGTAGAAGACTTGTTGTGGATATCTTTTTTTTTTTTTTTTGTCTTGAGCTAAGTCCAGTATGATAAAATCACCAAAGTCATCAACAGGTGTTTGGCTGACACTTAACTCTTGCATTTGGAGATGATTTTTTTCATGGTCTCTACAAGTTACTCCATAAAACCACATTCTTCTGAACAATGGTGCAGCATATCTAAAAGCTCTCTGATTTCAGCATTCTAAAAGTAGAACAGCAACCACACTCTTTTCAAGAATAATATTTTGATTTTTCTCCTGGCACGTTTCTTTTGCTAAAAGTGTGTTTTGGAAAAGTGGGGCATTTGGGTGCTGTGTTTACCAAGGTTTTAGTGTAATATAAGATAGGTGCTATATAGGTTTAGATTTTATTGTATAAATGCTATACTTTTATAGGACGCCCACACAAATTATTAATATGGGAATATGGAAAACGTCAGCAAGTGTTTGAGGCGAGACACATTCTGTCCACGTGGTGGCAGTGTTATACCTAATATACTTATAACTTGCAATCTTTTAGTAGCAAAGAGTACACTACTAACTAGCAAATCTCCTGTCAATACTTGGTAATTATATTACTTGATATAGCACTAACAATTTTCACATCTTACATACAAAACACTGGCTGGATAATAAAACCCTTTTCAAGATATTTGAGCATGCCATCAGTAACACCCAACAAGATTTTTTTATTAATACACTACTTTCCCGTCTGCGTCTTCGTTTATGTGTGGGTGTGAGAAATGAAAATAGCTGGTTATTCTTCCCTTTTTATTTTGATTCGTCATGTCATCGTTTGCCTAATTTTGGGAAGGTGTTCGGTGGGGAAAAAGAGGCTCCCTTCTTAGGAGAATGATTACGGTTACGGTTAGTTGACTCACATCTACATCAACAACATGTTTTTCAGTGTCGGGTATCAGGTGGCGACTTCTGGTATAGTAAAGCCTGTTCTATATTCACCTCCAACAAATCTCCTTTAAATATAAGATACTGGCGCCATTTTAATTTTAACAAATAGGCGCTGACTATTCTATTGTCATTTATTAAACGAAGAGGGGAAACTCTCGGGGAGCTGGCTAATTCCTCTCGACCTCTCCGGCGGTCCCTCCCTCTCTCGCCCCCCCCTCCCCCTGACGCAGGCGAGGAAAGTGTGAAGCGGCGACGCTGGGAACGCTAGTGAGCGCCCGAGATTTTCCAGACATGGATCCGCACTCACAGACGGGAAGCTGTGCCTCCGGAGTCGGGGACTAACAACAACAACAACAACACCGATTACAGCGCAGCCTTGCTCTGGCGGCGGCGGTGGGGGCACGGGGGACAGCGGGAAATGAAACGCGCTGCCTGCGGGAGTTTGTTTTTGGGGTGCACGGTCGGCCGAGGCGGAGAAAAATGACAGTTTGTTACACGAACCGGACTGAAGAAACTCTTCCCTTTCGGAATTGAATGAAGAGTCTCCTGTCACCGCTGCCTGTGTTGCTCGGAGTGCACCTAGCTAAGGCCACATACATGCAGAAATGCCCGTGTAGTGCCGAGGGACGCAGGAAGAGGCTTCTGTGGGCAAAGCAGACGTAGGAGCAAAAGCCGAGAATAAGATGTAGTAACTTTTTTTTGCCTTGTTTTTTTTTCAGAAAATGGCATCTCGTTAAAAATTGCTTTCTGGTTTTGCAGCCTTCACGTTTAAAAGTGCCACTGCGGGGAGGAAAAGGCAACAAACTAGCCACAGTAAGAGCTGGGGGTCCTTTCACTAGCTACCCGTAGGGTACAACAGAGAATAAAGCTATTTTATATATGTAAAAGATATTAAAAGCTTTGAATTCCGTTCTCATTTCGTCCGTTCACGGATCCCCGCTATTGGCTACATCTTGGGATTTCTTTTTTTTGCAAACAAGTTTATTTCAAGCAACTTCATTTTTGTCCCCAGAGTGTGCTGTGCTTCAGTTTTCTAGATCTTTTTTTTTTTTTTGCCTTTGCTGGGACTGTCCGACCCACCCACTGAAGGAGCAGCCGGGGCCGATGCGGGCAGTCCAGCCCCGGCCATGGCAACGCGAGGAGCCGCATCGTCCGCAGCCATGCAGCCGCAGCAAATATACGACTTTTCCAGTGAAGAGAACAGCCACAAATGGAGAGGCCTCTTCGTGCTAGCTCTGCGAAAGGTAAGAAATGGGAGCCATAGGGGGTGTAATGTGTAATAATACTAAAGTCAACGCGTTTGGGGGGGCTGTTTTGAGATTGGCAATAGGTGTGGATGTGGAAAGCCTCTTATTTCTAGCATCTTGGCGTGCCTTAATACACCCGTAGTTACAATATTAATCATTTCCCGTTGACCGCATATTTTTAATTCAAACCGGGGGCTATATCTGGCCTTCAGTGATGAGAGTAACAGCACGTTACCTGCTTAGAAACGGCTCTTCTCCTCTCTCTCTTGACGTGCTGTTAACGTGCGCAGGAAGTCTCGCCTTTTCCCTACTCACGCAGCGGCGGCGCGCGGGGCTGGGGCTCTGGGTCGGACCCTCACCTCTCCCGAGGTGCTGTACAGCGTCGTGTTCACATCACGCCCGACCGCTGCGGGGGTTCGGGGACTGAACGTAGCCGTACAAGGATCAAGTGCAGTTATAATGCACGTCAAGTGTCCGTTGAAGGGGGTCCGGGAATAACACCTTGATTGTCGTGAAGCAGAAACGGCTTCTGACTGGGGGACACCTCATGGACGGTCATGTGGGTTCGCAGGCATACTGAGTTAATCGGCAGCCCAGGGACCGGTTCGGATCAGCCGGGGTGCCGCCATTCGTCTGTCATTAGTAAAATACTTTCATGTTTATAGGTAATCTGCTGCCCTGTTGTGCTGCCTTCAAACTTGTGACTTCTGTGGATGGATCAGTCTGACTTGTTTGAAGTTTTAGGGCAGCTGTTTTTTTTTTTTAAACGCGTGCGCATTAAAAGTGATTCACCAACGCTGTGCGGGAACACCTGAACTCTATAAACAATTTCTTACTTTAGATTTTTTTTATCGACGACAAAACACGAAAACGCATTTGCACCAGTCTCAGCGTAATGGCAGAATGAGGGAAGTGACCTCCTTTTGACCTTAAAAAGCATTTGAGATGAGCATTGACTTTTGTTTGAATCTGCTTTGAGAAAGTTTTCTCTGTCCAAACCTCTTATCCCATTCCCTACACAGTGATCAGCGGAAGTCTTAAAAGCACTTCTTAAATTCTAGTTTTTAATATTTTCCAAAACACCTTTGCCTTTTAAGGTGTATGTTCGAAGTTGCCGGACATGGATCTTTTTATTCATTTAACTAAACTTTTATTGATGTGCAAAACTATGATACACAACTGATTTTTCTGTAACGGACCTAACCCAGCATTCTCTAATTTCTCTTTCACTAACTGATTATTTTTAACTGACCAAATCTGCTTTTGTTCTTAGCTGTCCACCCCTGACTTTAAAGTTAAGGAATGAAGATTTGTGTGGCTGCAGTATTGACTGCAGTGTTGACTTTTTGTACTTGCAGTCTCTAGTGTTAACCATCCATTGCTTTTCATGGGATCTTGTTCATATATACAGTATATATGAACATTTTGTCCCTCATTTTATCTCTGCAGATAGGTTATTATTAATAGAGATTACGGTATCTTAAAGAGAGTGAAATAGGAAGGCAACACACAGGGGAAATCTATAAATCACATCTTTATTTTAGAATAAAGTGATCCAAAAGCTGAAAGGAGACCTAGTGGGTTCATATACAACAGTATTTGAATAAATGTTTGGTAAGGGGACAGTTCATGTACACATTTATTGATGAGGAGGAAGGATCTTGATGGTGTTTTATGGTTTTGAATGCAGATCTCATATGCTGTGTGTGAGGATAAGAGTTGCCTTTTCTGCTAGCAGCGATATGAACATTGAGGATCTGTACCTAGAGGCATAGTGCCAAGCGGTAACTTTATACATCAGCTACTGAGTTGAATATGTTCAGAATTGCGTAATCATTCAGCTCCCACTGTAAAACTAACCCAAACAAAATCCTCCGTTTTCAACGTCAGACCTAAAACTCCCTACGCTTTTTCTGCACAGCGAAAAAGGAATATGAAACTGATGTTAATGCCTGTTGAAGAAGAAAATGACAGTTGAATGAAAAAAGAACATGAAACCGACGTTAATGCATGTTGAAGAAGAAAATTACGGTTTGTTACACAAACCGGACTGAAGAAACTCTTCCCTTTCGGAATTGAATGAGGAGTCTCCTGTCACCGCTGCCTGTGTTGCTCGGAGTGCACCTAGCTAAGGCCACATACATGCAGAAATGCCCGTGTAGTGCCGAGGGACGCAGGAAGAGGCTTCTGTGGCCAAAGCAGACGTAGGAGCAAAAGCCGAGAATAAGATGTAGTAACTTTTTTTTGCCTTGTTTTTTTTCAGAAAATGGCATCTCGTTAAAAATTGCTTTCTGGTTTTGCAGCCTTCACGTTTAAAAGTGCCACTGCGGGGAGGAAAAGGCAACAAACTAGCCACAGTAAGAGCTGGGGGTCCACGAATAACATGAAACTGATGTTAATGCCTGTTGAACCTTTCCTGTCTGCTTCAGTCTTTTGAATGATGCTATGGCAGGAGGCTGGGATTCAGAGTGTGTGCTAGACTTAACCCAAGCTGTTTTCTTTACCTGCAAGGGAACACAACCATGGTGACCTAATGAAAAGAGTTACAGCTTCTAGTTAAAAGAATCTACAGTGGATGTAAATCTGTCACTTTTAACGAGTGTGAAATGAAGCCTGGAACTTGAATACTAGTGGCCCCGGTCAAATCTTTTGGCATCCGCTCTGCTGCTCTGCTCAGCTCCGCTGATAAAGCCATGTCGTCTTCACCACAGCACCCATGCCTGGTGCTCCAGCTGGTGTGTTGAGTGGAGACGGAAAGAGCTGGGGTGTGCGAGAGCCTCCTACCCTGCGGCCCGTTGAAGAGGTTCTGGAAGCAGGACCTGTGGAAAACGGGGACAGTCCAAATCCCCCCCCCCCCCCCTTCCCACCAGGGCACACTGCGGGTATCATTTAAGCCAATCCCACATTCCCCAGCGTGGTCTGAGACGCCCTTGTGTTGTTGCCAAAACCTCATCCTTTTGGGAGTGTAGCGCACGGAAATTGCCTTTTTTACAGATGGGTTTTAGTGATTGCTTGGTTTATTTTAGTAATGTTATGGGTGCTTTGCTAAAAAAAAAAAAACATTGCTGGCCATATCCTTCTTAGGTAAAAAAAAACAATTGAGTGGTTTGGATATCATACAAAGACAAGGTCTGTAATTGCTTCTGTCATTTGTCTCCTACAGATCCCTTTGTCTGGCTGGTATTATTATTTTATATATTCCCTGAGGTAAAAGCTCAATTTTATGAGCATGATTCTTAGAAAAACTGCCTAATACTAGGCTATCTGTCCTGTCAGATTTTATATTTGCCTGAAATGTTTGGAATGTTTTCTTTAACAAACATAGCTTCTCCTAATAGGAGGTTCTTACAACTGGATCCATTTGTGCTAGTTCTGTGTTTGTGGTTTATTAGATGCCACTGATAGGTCCCATATGGGCTCAGAAGCTGAAATCATTAGACAGAGACATGTCTAGAGTGTTCAGTAATCTTTGAACTGCCTGCTACAATAACATAGTGCTGATCATGGGCTAAATAATTGCTTCAGCACAGTAGCTACTGTATAAATCTCATTACAAAGAGATGAAATGTTTGTTGCTGCTAATTGCCATAAGTCTGCCTTCCTACATTGTGACATGTCAAACCGTCTTTAACTGCGTACCTTCTTCTGAATGGATTTATTTTCTCTTGATATTGTAGATTATATTTCAGCTTCCCAAAGAAGGCTGAAGAAGGAGTTTAAAGATCGAGAAGTTGAGATGTCCATTTTGAAATTGACTCTTAAAATGATAAAGTTCACCAAAAGATACAGTACCTTATAGCTGAAGCAAATTCACAGCGATTTCAGGAAAATTACAATCTTTTTGTAAAATTACAAAATTGCGATCTTTGGCAGGCATACTGCCATTTTATTTGAATAGACATGGGTAGATTCATTATACTGATTAACATTTGTCAACAGCAGGAAGTCTAATGTGGACGCGTCAAAGGCTGGTAATGCGTGTGACCACTGTATCCACTGTGGAAGCTTGTGTTATCCCATTTCTCTCTTAGGGCCTGGACAAAAGTGTGCCTGTTCTCTGGTCTCTGAGCCTTAGATGCCACATGTCTTCCCAGTTCATGCCACAAGTGTTCAATGAAGCTCAGGTGTGGCGATGGGGACATCCATGACCTGTACCGTCACATCCTGACTTCACACAGAAAGCCACTGTTACATGAGCAGCATGAGGACATGTGTTGTCCAGGTGGGGTGTTTCCACTGCAGGATGAGCCTACAGGAAAAGGAGCAAGTGAGATTCTTAGAATTGATCAATGTAGTGACATGCAGCCAGGTTGCCATCAATCACAACAAGTGAAGTTACATAAGCAAATTACAACAGTGTCTATAGCAACTAGACGCTCCTACCCAGACCATCACACTTGGACCTCCCCATAAGTTGTCTGTTGTGGATTGACATTTTGCCACACTCACTGATGTACATAATGGATGCCTGCAAAAAATCTTGTTTCATCACTATAGAACATTTGACTGCACTGCTGGCAAATCTAGAGTTTTACTCTAACTTACTGGTGGTATGTACAGAATGAAACGTGTTCTTTATATGCAGTTGTGTTTTTCTTTATTTTCACCAGGCCCTATATTCAACAGGTTAAATCACCCCTTTACCTTTATCCAGCCATCTCTCTGATTTTGCAGGTGAATTTGTATGCAACAGTAGAATACCACTTGAGTGCCACAGTCAGTCATGAATAATCCGAAGGAGAGGGACCCAAAAATGTAATTTCTTGAGAAAATGTTTTTAATGCTGCTAGATGATTGTTGAACAACGCAGGACAGTAGTCCAATTGCATACATACTGTACCTCGTACCATTAAATGTTAGGAGGGGGGTGTTAGTTTATTATAATGCTTTTAAAAAAGTGAGATTTATCACTATACAGTAATTTTATGTTCTCTTTTGATACCCTGAAGATGGGCATCTTTCTCACTTTTATTCAACTCCTTTTGTTAGACTTCTGA